GTAATTGCCAGTAGGCACATGCATCAGTGCTCTGGCATCAGTGAAACTAAGTTAGAAAGACTCATAACTCAGGTAAACTCAACTGCTGCATGATTAAGACTAGCACTTATGCTCCCCCCTTCCTTACTTGTCATTGGCCAGATGATAGAAGTGCCTATTCACACAACCAACACACAACAGGGACACAGCATCCAAATAGGAAAATATCTTCATCAGCATTTCTGATGGCATGCTGGAAAACAAGAGAAATACCGTTAGACTTGCCTGCAAACTTCAGAAATTACAATGGCAAAGAATTTTAATCCCAAACCAGAGCAAAACAAAGGAGATGATAGAAACTACCAGCTTGTAAATACACAAATCAAAACTCACCTGAAGAGTTAATTTGCAGTTTGGGTTCTGATTTGTCTCTCTGATCTAAAATATTTGCTTAAAACAATTCACCACAATCTATTCAAGTGGCACAGCACAATTATGTAAAAAGTTATGGGTTTGCATTTTCATTACACTTTGTTAACTTTACCCCAGTTTGACATGAAACTATCTCATTCAACTTCAGTTTCTCACTGCTTGTACCATGATTTTAACACTTAGTCCATAACTACCAGCATTTGCCAGAACTGTGTACACTCACTCTCCTCCTGACTGTGGTGTCAGGTCTCAGGATGGACCAGGACAGAAATGTCCTAGTGAGATCATGCTCTACCTCATCAAAATCTTCAAACCACGTGTGCTCAGGGGTCTCATACAGTTTTCATTTATGTCAACAGAAAGATGTGAACTTCAAAATAAGAGCTGAGTGGCATCTTGAGAACATGAATGTTTCTGGGAATCTGTAAGGCTGCCTGAAATGCAGGTGCCAGCCTAAGTACAACAAGCACAACATAACCTGGAGATGAGTCACCATGGTTTTTGTATTAACAGACAGAAACTTCATACCCGTCAAGTAGTATCTGGTAACCGCACAGAGTTTAAAAACGATGTCTTTTATACTCTAACTTTTTGGAGCGTAAGAGTATGGTAACATCAAAATCACCACTGAAAATACAAGCTGCTGTGAAAGTCAACACCTCAGCTGTGTCTCTTGTCCATTTACTGCTGTGTCATTTACAACAGTTGCTGATTTATAATACTTTATTCCAGAAGCATATAGCTTTCAAGCATAGAATGATAACAATGCTATACTCCGAGGTTTGTATTAAAACTCAGAACCTTAGTTGCACCAACATAGAGGCAACCGTGCCAAAACGTGCACAGTTACTATGCGAAATAACTCAAACATTGTAAGTCCAAAGCAGTTAGTGCATTTATTCCAGGGAGAATTTAGAAATGATCCCTTAAAAAGCTGCAAATTAGCTAAATAATATGCTTGATCTAGGATTCTCAACAGTAGTTTTTACAACCATATTATTTTTATTTTGAAGGAAGCCGATAGAAAGGCTTTTTTTTTCTTTTTTTTCTCGTTTTTCACACCAAACTAACAGCATAAGGGATTGAACTGGCCATACAATGGAAAACAGAGGAATGACTACACAGGAAGCTACAAAATGTATAAAACAAAGAAAATTAATTAATCTTTCATGTAACATATTCTTAGATTTTTTTGTAGAAACGTAACTAATTTTCAAAAAGAAAACAACTTACAATTATATTGCAAGTGCCCTTTCACTGTCAAACAGGGAGCAAATATGCAGCATCCACTTTACTCCTCCCCACTCATCCCACTCCACCAGCCTAAGACTCTCTATACAAAGCAACAAGCATCAAGAGAACATCAGAAGTTTAATTCCAAACTGGCTTTTATTGAAGTAATACAGTAACAATTTTTATTCTCAAGGAACAACACACCCCATGATTTGCAAAGTTGTTGCTGAAGGCTTCATATGACCTGGAAAACCTACGTACTTCATATGAACTTAGAAAAGGAAGTGAGAGAGAACCATGCCACAAAACATCAGAAGGTCAACATAGGATCACAAAGTAGGCCAGGAAAGCAAATCTTCTCTGTTCGACTCGGAACATCTGACACAGAAATCTCCAAGGTATGAACAGAATAACTGTAAGCAGTCAAAAGATGGCTTATAGTCTGCAAGGGGTATTCCACTCTTAAACTAAAGACACTCACCTCTCAATGCACAAATTAGGTTTCGGTTTTATGGAAGGCGTCAAATACAGACTTTTAATTCCAGCATTTACAGTTTCAGAACGTTCCCCAGGTCCAGCAGCAAAGCTCCTTGACCTACTTCTAAAAAAGAAAAGCTGTCAGGAGTCACATCATCACACAGTGAAGAAATACGCATACTGTGCACACCTAGACACCAAGTCTCAACTGAGACAGGATTCAGGGAATGCATCACATGGTAACTCATTATTATCAGCTCACAAATTTGAACAATTGTCACCAACTTAAAATACCCAAGATCAGGTATTAAAATTAATTATTTAAAGTCACAGGTGTCTCTCCTATGATTAATCTCTCACAGTAGTCAGAAAGGAATAGTGCCACACCACCAAATCAGTTTGAATCTGGTAGAGATCTATTAATGTTGGACAGCTGCACCACTGTGGCCACCATAATCAAGCTCCAGATAGGCCCCTGCAGTAAGTCAAACTCACTGATTAATCTTCTGTTTTGCAACATTACTCCAGAGATGTTTTTGAGCCATCCAACTTTGCTAAGCTATTAAAAGATATCAAATAAAACAATACCTTGAAACTTTCTCAAAAACCGACAAGGCTCAAAAAGTATTCCCTTGACTACACAACAGAATCACATTTGAAACAAAGTTATAGTCTCATTTCAGATTTTCCCCTGCTGAAATACTCCCAGCTCTGTGAGATAAGTGTTAGTTCGACAGGCAAGATGGGTATCAATGTTTTTATTGCTCATTAACACATAACAATTTGGACAGAAATTACTTTCTCTTACTAAAGAAAGCAACTTTGCATATTTCGAACAGAAAGAAATTCTTTCAATCCAACTGGCCCCACATTTTTTCCAAGACTTCTGACAGTAAGAACTTTGTAAGCAAATATTGTCATTAAACCACATAGAAATATTCAGATGGAGTTTCAGTCTTAATCAAATCCTTACATTCATACCCACTGATGCCACAGAGCAGGCAGAGCTCCCCATATACTCTATTAGTGATGGTTTGTATTGACAGCTGACTTTCCAACACCTGGTCAATCCAACTCTGAGTTTCTAAGCAACCAATCGATGTTGGGGGAAAAAATATCTAATTTTGAAGTACATGGGTGCCATGTACATTTAATGCACACCGTTCTTGATTTAAGATTGGTGTATGCTCAAAGAAAAATAAAAATCAGAAGAAAAGAACAACTTTGCCCTACATTGTCAACTGTGCTATGTAAAAAAAAAAAATCCCTGAAGTTTTACTGGGAATTGTTATAAGCATAACACAAAAAGACACGCACATTTCAGCTTGGGTGCCAATCTCTAATAGGTTAACAAAATTAACAATGACAAAAAAGTAACCGTATATCAAATATGCCCTGAAGGTCAAGCAAATATTTTACTCGTATATTATTATCAAGAAGTACACTTAGGTGCCGAGATGAGGCTGTAACAAGCTGCATTTTTTTAAAGCCATTAAAAGGATTTAGAGACACAAGTCCTGTGCAACAGCAGCAGAACTACCGCTTCTGTACCTTCCTGGGCAGCACGTCCCAGGCTATTCCGCCCTGCATCTATGCTGAAGGCACAAAGATACCTAGTTTGGGCGTACCCTACAGTGACACACCCACACAGACTCCAGGCACAGGAGTAATTCGGATCAGGAGCTGGATCCTGGATTTTGCAACACACTTTACCTGGTACAAGCATAACCTGCATTGCCCATATTCAGTCCTTCTTGCTCTCTTTTTAACCACTTCTTGCATCCCCCCCTTCTTCACCCCAGGAAGGAATTTCTGAAGTAAGAGAAATGTTGCCTACACATGCCTTGAAAACTTCAACATAATATCTACCTCTTTTGTAAGCTTCATTTCAAAAAAAGTACTGAATTTTTGCATCTTCCAAAACAAAAATATTCTCAAGGTATGAAGAAACAACAGCAAATCCATTGCATAAACTATTTTTCAAGTATTGTGTGTGCTAAGTATTAACAAAATGCTTCTACACTGCATTGACAAAGCTTGCCTGCCCAAGTTAAAAATCGATGACAGCTGTTACTCCCCCTCTTTAGAGACTTCTAGTAACAACTGAGATGCTCTTGCTTAGAGGCACAACAACCTCAACCGCTATTTCATTAGCTTTCAATTTGTGGGACTGTTTTGTACCAGTATTTTCACTTTCATACCCTGTAGTACTTGCAATGTGACTATTGTTTTTTTGCTGGTCAGGGAACAAATCTATTTCAAAGAACGGATAGAAAGTTGTAAGTAGTGACAAAACCTGTCTCCTTCTCCAAATGTTAAAGCACACCTGGGGATAAAGAGAAATGACAGTAATGTTTTGACATGTTTTTTTTCTTCAGCTAACAATTCCAAAGTCTTTTTAAAAGGTGGGTATTATCCATTCCATTTACAGGTTAAAGAAGGGGGGGGAATGAAATGGCTATGAAACCCAAGGTTGTAGAAATGGGTTAGCAGAAAAACCTGCTTTCTCAACTTTGCTTCTAAGATTGGTGCTTTAAATGTTTGGAAGCTGAACCTGTACTGTAAGAATTAAGATAATCACACATTCCACAACGAAATCCTCCCATTTATTACAAAGGCCTTACTACCCTGAACATATGTACATCAGCCACTATGCTAGCTAATGCTTTGTAGACAGTGTAATAAGCAGTAGCCGATCTCCTCTAAGCTCAAGCACATACCCAAGTTTAAGCCCCACTACCCAGACAGAAAACAGTGCGTTAAACCTCGGCCTTCCGTACACCTGGAAATGCCTGTGTTTCCTATCGCAAGGCGCATCACCTCTACAAAGATATCGCCTTCCTTAGGGCCAGGGGGAGGGAGAAGAGAGCACCGTGGCCATGAAGGAGCAGGCCCGAGCTGTGGCAAATTTAGAGTTGGAAACCAGAGCCGTGAGGTGGGTGGAAGGGGTTTCCCAGAGGAGCGATGGGACTTCAGGGAAAACAAACCACCCCACCACGGACAAGGCAACAAAGGACAAGCAGGCAGCTCTGGGGCGGCAGAGCCCTGCTCCCCGCTCAACGCCCCCCGGCAGCCTCTCCTCAGGCCGGGCAGGGAGACCGTTACCTGGGCCCGGCGGCCCGACCGGCGGCGGC